CCTTTATGACCCCCGGATCAAAATCTCACCTACCAACCGAAAATCGCAAAAATATCAATTTCGCCAATTCAAGCCTAATTCTACTCCAGACCTCCAAAACCCATTCCGATCACGCTCCTAAGTCACAAATCATCTCCCGAATCTAACCGAACCATCGGAACTCACATCCGAGCCCTCTAACACATAAGTCAACATCCGGTTGACTTTTCCAACTTAAGCCTTCTTAAAAGAGACTAAGTGTCTCAAACCTTATCAAAATCATTCCGGATTCAATCCGACTAACGCGATACCTCAAAACACAGATGAACAAAGCAAATAGAAGCAGAAATGGGGGAAACAGACCGGTAACTCATGAGACGACCGGCCGGGTTGTCACATCCTCCCCAACTTAAATAAACGTTCGTCCTCGAACGAGTCCAGAAACATACCTGAAGCCTCAAACGGGTGAGGATTTCTGCTCCGCATCTCCCGCTCGGCCTCCCAGGTAGCCTCCTCCACGGGCCGACCTCTCCACTGCACTTTCACTGAAGCTATATCTTTTGACCTCAACTTCTGAACCTGACGCTCCAAAATGGCTGCTGGCTCCACATCATAAGTCAAATCATCCTCCAACTGAACCGCGCTGAAATCCAGAACCTGAGACGGATCTCCAATATACTTTCGGAGCATAGAAACATGGAAAACCGGATGCACACTCGACAAGCTGGGTGGCAAAGCAAGCTCATAAGCCACCTCCCCAATCCTCCGAAGTACCTCAAAAGGCCCAATGAACCGCGGACTCAACGTCCCTTTCTTTCTGAATCTCATAACACCCTTCGTGGGCAAAATCTTCAACAAGACCTTCTCACCAACCATGTAAGACACATCTCGAACCTTCCTGTCAGCATAACTCTTTTGCCTTGACTGCGCTGTACGAAGTCTCTCCTAAATCACCTTCACTTTATCTAAGGCATACTGAACCAAATCTGTCCCCAATAGCCTAGCCTCACCGGGCTCAAACCAACCCACCGGAGATCTACACCGCCTCCCGTACAAAGCCTCATATGGAGCCATCTGGATACTCGATTGGTAGCTGTTGTTGTAAGCAAACTCTGCAAGCGGTAGAAACTGATCCCATGACCCTCCGAAATCAATAACACAGGCGCGTAGCATATCCTCCAATATCTGAATGGTGCGCTCGGACTGCCCGTCCGTCTGAGGGTGAAAAGCTTGTGCTCAACTGCACCTGAGTACCCAACTCTCGCTGAACAGACTTCCAAAACTGGGAAATAAACTGAGTGCCCCGATCTGAAATGATGGACATTGGGACACCATGCAACCGAACAATCTCCTGAATATATATCTCTGCCAGCTGCTCTGAAGAATGAGTAGTACAGATAAGAATGAAGTGCGCGGACTTGGTCAGCCTATCCACAATCACCCAAATAGCATCGAACTTCTTCAAAGTCCGAGGGAGTCCAACTACAAAATCCATAGTGATCCTCTCCCACTTCCACTCAGGAATAACCATCTGCTGAAGCAAGCCACCCGGTCTCTGATGCTCATATTTCACCTGCTGACAATTGAGACACCGAGCTACAAATCCCACAATATCTTTCTTCGTTCTCCGCCACCAGTAGTGCTGTCTAATCCTGATACATCTTCGCGGCTCCTGGATGAATAGAATACCGCGAGCTATGTGCCTCCTCCAGAATCAACTCCTGCAGCCCATCCACATTGGGCACACAAATCCGGCCCTGTATCCTCAACACCCATCATCTCCAATGGTCACATCTCTGGCATCATCATGCTGAACTCTATCTCTAAGGACGAGCAAATGGGGATTATCGTACTGGCGCTCTCTGATGCGCTCATATAAGGAAGACCGAGATACCACACAGGCCAATACCCGACTGGGCTCAGAAATATCCAACCTCACAAACCGATTGGCCAAGGCCCGAACATCAACTGCAAGAGGTCTCTCCCCAACTAGAATATATGCCAAACTCCCCATACTCACTGCCTTTCGGCTCAAAGCATCGGCCACCACGTTGGCCTTCCCCGGATGGTACAATATAGTGATGTCATAATCCTTAAGTAACTCCAACCATCTCCGCTGTCTCAAATTAAGATCCTTTTGCTTGAACAGATGCTGAAGACTGCGATGATCAGTGAATACCTTACAAGACACGCCATACAAGTAATGCCTCCAAATCTTCAATGCGTGAACTATGGCAGCCAACTCTAAATCATGAACGGGGTAGTTCTTCTCATGGGGCTTCAACTGATGAGAAGCATATGCAATAACTCTACCCTCCTGCATCAATACACAACCAATCCCTACTCTCGAAGCATCACAATACACGGTATATGAACCTAAAACTGATGGCAAAACCAACACTGGAGCTGTGGTCAAAGCTGTCTTGAGCTTCTGAAAGCTCTCCTCACACTCGTCCGACCATACAAATGAAGCACCCTTCTGAGTCAACTTGGTCAAGGGCGACGCGATAGATGAGAATCCCTGAACAAATCGGCGATAATAGCCTTCCAGACCAAGAAAACTACGAATCTCTGTGGCTGAGGACGGTCTGGGCCAACTCTGAACCGCCTCTATCTTCTTTGGATCGACCTGAATACCCTCACTGGACACCATGTATCCCAAGAATGCCACTGAACTGAGCCAAAACTCACACTTGGAGAACTTTGCGTAAATCTTCTCCTCCCTCAACCTCTACAACACAACCCTCAATTGCTCTGCGTGCTCCTCCTGACTACGCGAATATACCAGGATATCATCAATGAAAACTATGACAAATGAATCAAGATAAGGCCGGAACACACTGTTCATCAGATGCATGAACGCTGTTGGGGAATTAGTCAGTCATAAAGACATAACCAGGAACTCATAGTGACCATATCTGGCCCTGAAGGCTGTCTTAAGAATATTCAAATCCCTGATCTTTAGCTGGTGATAACCCGAACGGAGATCAATCTTGGAATACCCTCGCTCCCTGAAGCTGGTCGAATAAATCATCAATGTGAGTCAAGGGATACTTGTTCTTAACTGTTACTTTGTTCAATTGCCTATAATCAATGCACATTCTCATCGTGCCATCCTTCTTCTTCACAAACAGAACCGGCGCACCCCAAGGTGACACACTAGGCCGAATGAATCCCTTATCTAGGAGTTCCTGAAGCTGCTCCTTTAACTCCTTCAGCTCCGCTGGTGCCATACGATACGGCGGAATAGAAATGGGCTGAGTGCCCTGCACCAGGTCGATACCAAAATCAATATCCCTGTCCGGTGGCATGCCCGGCAGGTCTGCAAGAAATACATTAGGGAAATCCCTCACAACTGGGACAGAATCAATACTGGGAGTCTTAGCTCCAACATCCCTCACAAAGGCAAGATACGAAAGACAACCCTTCCCAACCATACGCTGGGCCTTCAAGAAATAAATCACTCTACTAGGAACGTGATCAGTCACACCACGCCACTCGATCCGTGGCACACCCGGCATAGCTAAAGTGACTGTCTTAGCATGACAGTCTAGAATAGCACGGCACGGAGATAGCCAATCCATGCCTAGAATGACATCGAAATCCACCATGCTCAATAATAAAAGATCAACTCGGGTCTCCAGACCCCCAATAATCGCTACGCACGACCGGTACACACGGTCTACAACAACAGTGTCGCCCACCGAGGTAGATACATGAACAGGTAAGGCAAGAAACTCACGAGGAGTACCCAAATAGCGAGCAAAGTATGATGACACATAAGAATAGGTGGAACTGGGATCAAATAATATAGAGGCATCTCTGTGGCAGACTGAAATAATACCTGAAATGACAGCATCGGAGGCAATGGCATCGGATCTGCCTGGCATAGCATAAAAATGGGCCTGACCGCCCCCTGATCGACCTCCCCCTCTGGGGCGACCCCTGGCTGACTGATCCCCATCCCTAGCTGGCTGGGTGGGTGGTGGTGGAGAAACTGGAGCTGAAGCTGATAACTGGACCCACAGCTAGGATGAACTAGCAACACGGTGGGGACACTGCCTCCTCATATGTCCAAACTCCCCGCACTCATAGCAACTCCCCGATGCTGGAGATGGGGACAGAAGGGAACCCCTCGCACCGAAGTGACCAGCAGATGAACTCGGCATAGAAGAGCCCTGAAGAGATGGAGCACGGGATGAGCTCTGAGCTGGAAGGGCGCTAAGTGATGAATGGCCCTGGTGCGAACTGTGGGAACCATGACCTGATGAAGCTCCACGATAACCTGAGCGATCAGACTGTCCATGTCGGAACTGTCGGCCACTGCCGTGCTGAAATTGGCTCCTCGAAGGAGCACCACTGTAGCTGCCAGATCCTCGAGGCCTCTTGGCCTCCCTCTTCTCTCGCTCCTGGCGACGGACAGACTCCATCTCCCTAGCAATATCCACAACCTCCTCGAAGGTAGCACCCGTCACTCTCTCTCCGGCCATGAGAATACGGAGCTGATATGTGAGGCCATCAACAAACCTCCTGATTCTCTCTCGATCGTTTGGAACCAACCAAACTGCATGTCGGGCTAACTCAGAGAATCGCATCTCACACTTCGTCACCGTCATCTCCCCCCGACACACCTGCTCAAACTGCCTACACAGCTCCTCTCGTCGTGACTGTGGTACATACTTCTCTAGAAAGAGAACAGAGAACTGCTGCCATGTAAAGGGCGCTGCTCCAGCAGGCCTACGCCTCTCATACGCCTCCCACCAAGTGAAGGCGGCCCCGGAAAACTGAGAGGTGGTAAATGCCACGCCACTGGTCTCTAGAATCCCTGCTGTACGAAGCATCCTCTGGCACTTATCCAAAAATCCCTGGGCATCCTCGCCCTTTGCACCGCTGAATGTCAGAGGCTGGAGTCTACCAAACCTCTCAAGTCGACGCTGCTCATCATCCGGCATCACTCGTACTACAAACTCTTGAGCTGGTGCAACCGGCTGGGCTGGAGGTGCCCCTGGTGTCTGGAGTCCCTAAGCAACCTGATCAGGTGTGCGAGCAACAGGGGTCTGAATACCTCCCCCAGTCTGTGAAGTAGTTGCGGCCGTAGAAGCTGAGACCACCTGAGCCAAACCGGTACACACCGAAAATATCTGAGCTAGAGCCTCCTGAAGGCATGGGATCACAATAGGCACAGCTGGTGCCTGAACTGGTGCTGCTGCAGCGTCCACAACGGGGCCTGGTCCTGAACTGGGGCAGCGGGTGGATCTGCAAGTGCTGCCCCCGCTGCTCTGCCCCTACCGCAACCACGACCGCGTCCTCGGCCTCTGGTGGCCGTAGCTGGTGGCACTGGTGGTCGTCCACCCTGTCCAGTAGCGCGTGTCCTCACCATTTGTGAGAGAATAGAACAACAGAAGTTTAGTACTCGGATCAACAAACTCGCACGATAAGAATTTCAAGAGTGTGAAGTTTCCTAAAGGTTCTGCAGCCTCTCGAGGATAAATACAGACGTCTCCGTACCGATCTGCGAGACTCTACTAAACCGGGTCATGACTCGCGAGACCTATGTAACCTAGACTCTGATACCAACTTGTCACGACCCCAAATACCGGTCGTGATGACGCCTATCCCATTACTAGGCAAGCTGGACCAACTATCAAACCACAACCCATATTCATTTAATAAGTCATTTGCTAACACGGTTTAAATACCAATTATCATAATAAGTGTTTAAAACAACAGAAAACATATGCGGAAATCAACAAGACATAGAAACTACACAACCCACACTGATCTGGTGTCACGAGTCTAGAGCCTCTACTACAAGTCTAAACAACCTACTACATAGATAGTCTAGAAATGCGGAAAAGAAATAGGATAGAAGGGAGAAATCGGAGCCGCGGACGCCATGCAGCTACCTCAAAATCCCCCGCAAGTGCTGGAAAAGCAGTTGAAAGCTCTCACTCGGCCTCTCGAGCACATGTATCTGCACACAAGGTGCAGGGAGTAAAGTGAGTACTCCAACCCAGTAAGTAACTAAAATAAATAATGGACTGAAAGCAGTGACGAGCAGTTCAAAACATATATTCTAAAATCAGTTCTGTCATAAATTCATCATTTTCAGTTTAACGCTTGAAATCAATTACTTGACAATATGTCAACAGAGGCTTATTTATAAAAAGAGTGAAAACAGTAGAAATATCATCACAGGGCCCCTTGGGCAAGAAGTCACTCGAAATATAGCCCCTCGGGCAGCCTCTCAGTCACATGTTACTCAACTCTAGTCACACAATACTCTTTATCAGCACCCGGCTCAGTATTAACTCATAATAATAGAAATCATAATAACCGCTGCAGCGTGCAGCCCGATCCATGTATTTATAGTCGACTACGCTCACTGGGGATGTGCAGACTCCGGAGGGGCTCCTACAGCCCAAGCGTCATATCGCTGCGGCGTGCAGCCCGATCCTATATATATATATATATATATATATATATATATATATATATATATATATATATACATATATATCACTGCGGCATGCAGCCCGATCCCTGTAGGTATCGCTGCGGCGTGCAGCCCGATCCATAATATAGATATATAATATCCTCACCATAAGGTTCTCAACCTCTCATCAGCCATTAGCCTCACAGCCTCTCGGGCATCACAACAGAAATTAGGGAACTTAGCCTAAACACTCCTCACAGTAGGAGTAGAATGATAAAACCAGTTTTAAACATTTAATAAGTAGAAACAAGACTGAGGCTATGCTTTTAACAAGTAAAGTGAGGAAAATAGTTAAGATGCCCCAAAGGGTTTCTACAGATCAGTACAAGGCCCCAAACATGGCATAAAGCCCATAATACAGTATAAGGATCCAGAATCCAGATTAATATAACATTTCCAAATAAAATACGCAGCTCAATAGTCGCTACGGGGCGGACCAAGTCACAATCCCCTACTGGTGCACGCCCACACGCTCGTCACCTAGCATGTGCATCACCGCATTTATCAAATCAAGTCAAATACCGGGGTTTATACCCTCAGTTCCAAATTTACATTGGTTACTTACCTCAAACCGGTGAAAATACTATTCCGCGACGCCTTTGCCTCTCGAATCGGCCTCCACTCGCGTCGAATCTAGACAGAATTAGAGCGAATACGTGACAATATGCTAAGGGAACAAATCCCAAGCGAAAAAATCGAAAAATATCAAAAATCCCAAAATTAGCAAAACCCGAGCCCCGGGCTCACTTCTCGAAACTCAGAAATTTTCACATCAGCGGATTCCTTATCTCCCCACGAGTCTATTCATATAAAGAACACCAAAATTGGAGTCCAAATGACCCCTCAAATCCCAAATCAAAGATCCAAAATTCCAAGCCCTAGTTCTTCAATTTTCTCTTCAAGTTTCCATGAATTTCTGGGTGGATTCCACAATAGGATCGAGTTTTAGGTCCGAAATTCTTACCTCCAAACGTTTCTCCTTGAATCCCTCTTTAATCTCCTTCAAAAAGCTCCCAAAATGACCGTCTATGGAAGAAAAATGACCCAAAATCGCAACTGATATGACTTAAAACATTCTGCCCAGGTCTGACTCCCCCTTCTTCGCGAACGCGGTCAAACCCTCGCGTTCGCGAAGCACAAACTTATGTTGACCACTTTTCCTCTATGCGAACGCGACACGACCAACGTGAACGCGATGCCTTGCTCAGATCACTCTTCGTGAACGCGCTTACCCTTCCGCGAGCGCGATGAACACTTGACCTCAAATCGCAGCTGACCCAATTCCTCTATGCGAACGCGAGGTCCATCTCGCGTACGCGGCGACCAACTACCCAATCCCTCCGCGAACGCGAAGCCCCTCTCGCAAATGCGAATGCATAAATTCCGGCCTTCCTCAAATCCTTCTACGCGAACGCAATGCCCACTCGCGAATGCGACGGTATAAATCTCTGCAACAGCTGAACTTCAAAATCTGCAACTTCTCAAACTCCAAAATGGTCCGATTGACCACCCGAAACTCACCCGAGGCCCCCGGGACCTCAACCAAAAGCACCAACACATCCTAAAACCTTATTCGAACTTGTTCCAATCATCAAAACACCTCAAGCAATATCAAATTACTCAAAACACATCGGATTCAAGCCTAAGTTTCGAAATTTTTTCCGAAATACGCTTTCGATCAAAAACCCAACCAACCACGTCCGAATGACCTAAAATTTTGCACACACCTCCCAAATGACACAACAAAGCTACTGCAACTCCCGAAATTCCATTCCGACCCCCGGATCAAAATCTCACCTACCAACCGGAAATCGCCAAAATATCAATTTCGCCAATTCAAGCCTAATTCTACTCCGAACCTCCAATACCCACTCCGATCACACTCCTAAGTCACAAATCACCTCCCGAAGCTAACCGAACCATCGGAACTCACATCCGAGCCCTCTAACACATAAGTCAACATCCGGTTGACTTTTCCAACTTAAGCCTTCTTAAAAGAGACTAAGTGTCTCAAACCTATTCAAAATCATTCCAAATTCAATCCGACTAACCCGATACCTCAAAACACACATGAACAAAGCAAATAAAATCAGAAATGGGGAAAACGAAGTGGTAACTCATGAGACGACCGGCCGGGTCGTCACAGTAAGGTAGGTTCTACGCCTACACCGGCACGTGTAGTTTCATGACCTAATGAGGAAAAATATCCAAGGTCAATCTCGTTGAACTTAAGTAACGCCCAAAACCTTTACATTTATCAATGAAGATATTCATAGCCAAATCAACTATTTGAAAATAGTTAAATCTGAAATATTTCACAACTCATGTATTTGTGTAAAAAAAAATATTACAAGTCCTATTCTGATTTGTTTAGTTTCAAAATTTGAATAACATTTCAAGAAAATAATATTCAAAGCACTCAAATATTTTATGATACAAGAAATGGTACAATCCCAACTCGCTCGTCCCCACAGGATAGGACTCACATTTAGAAGCTCAATTTAATCGTGTGTTCGATATGAGTTTGGAGAAAAGCTCCGAAGGTAATAAGTTTCAACGCACCTCAAATTGCTTCCAACCTTACCCCAAATGATCCAATAATGCCGACGAGTCACAATCTACATATACGAACTCACATAATTCAATAACGTGTCACAATAATACCAACTAACCCAACTAAGTGCCCAACACTTTTAGTCTAATTTCATAAGTTTAGCAAAAATCCCCATTTCATCATTTGAAGGTAAATCCTTGAACTTTAACTCACAATCCGTCATTAAACATGTCATGGGATCTAGTCCTTCCATTGACAGCTCAAAATAACATCGTTTGAACAAGACCCAACACTATTCATCATCCCTACCAACCCATTCTTCTAGGGTTTCATGAATAGAAGCCTAAATACGAATCGATCTTCATAAACATACTCTTCTATATCCATGGAGTATAATGTATAAGTTTAGAGTGAAGGGATTACCTTTTTGTCAAACCCTAGGAGAATTCAAGATTTGGGTTCTTGAAGAGTTCTTGAGATTTTCTTCAACAATCTAGAATTTCCATGTAGTTGAAGAGTTAAGAGGTGTATTTAATGGACAAAATCTACCAAGAAGGACATTAAATTCATACCTTGAAGAAGTATTAATGGTAAAGAACTCCCTTCTCTATCTCTTAAGTCTTTAAGAACCAACTCCCAAATAATAGAACGACCCTTGCCCGTAATAGCCTTTAAAGACATTCAGCAGATTGAAGCCGTAAAGAAATGCGTCGCATCTCCATCGCGCGCGTCCTTCTCATTCAGCAAATTTGGACGCGAGGTTGGACGCCTTCAGTGCAGTTCACTGCTTACGTGATGGGCTTTTGCCTCATCTCATTTGTTTAGCCACTATGCCCATCTCATTCCTTTGAATTTATTTATTTATTTAATCTTTTCTCAATCATTTGCCACCACTACAACTTTTGTTCATTTTTGTATTATTCAATTTCATGGTATTTAATAATAAACTCCTTGGGTCGCACAATGTGTATCCAGCCCATTCACTCCAAAACTCAAACATTCATCCAAATATTCATTTTTGTGAATATTTTCCTTTCAAGAGCTTTTAATAAGCTTTTTAATTACTATTAATCCAACACTAATTTTTTGATAAAATAATTATTTCCTAGTATCTAAATAAGTTTGTTCTACTCAAATAATTCATGTAGCTTGGGTTTAATTAAATTACACCCTTAAGCTCAAAATTTACCCCAATTAATTACAAAAGTTCACGGGGCTTTACATTCTCCCCCACTTAGAAACATTCGTCCTCGAATGTAAATCCTTGGTCGTGTTAAAGTCCAAAAAGTATGATCTCCAAGCATCTCCAAGACTTTCCCTACTTCCCAATTCTTAAAGCTTTGAAATTTGACTAACTCTCCGAGTTTCTAAAAAAATTCTGCCAGAGTTTTCTTTATTTATAGGCCTATCCAAAAAAAATTTAACCTCACAGCGAGCCGCAAGAGTACAATGTAAAAGGCCCTACATGGCTCTACTCATGATAACTACATAAATAAATGCCTTCATGGCCTCATATATCTCTAGCTGCCATTACATAGCCTCTCCCGGCATTACCACACTAAAATTTATTACTATAGGGCAAGCCTAACAACCATGTACTATAGATGAACCAATCAATCACTTATCCCATGGAAGTAAATTACGATAACTCTAAACTCGAAATTTCAAAAAAAAAAAAAAAGTAGCCATACCTGAAGTCGCGAATAAGTGAGGGTATCGGATTTTCATATCCTCCTCAGCCTCCCAAGTAGCCTCCTCGACGTCATGATTACGCCATAACACTTTAACTGAAGCTATGTCTTTAGTTCTCCATCTACGAACTTGCCTATCAAGAATCTCAACCGGCTCTTCTTCATAAGATAAGCTGTCATTTATCTCTACTACCTCTAGTGAGATGATGTGAGCAGGATCGGGCATATACTCCCGTAGCATCGACACATGAAAAACAGGATGAATTAAGGTCATCGATGCAAGCAACTCTAGCTTGTATGCTACTTCACCAATCTTTTTCAAGATTCGATATGGACCAATGAATCTAGGATTTAGCTTGCCCTTCTTCCCAAATCTCATAACGCCCTTCATAGGAGATACTTTCAAGAACACTTGATCACGCTCTTTAATCTCCAACTTATGTCGACGTACATTTGTATAGCTTTTTTGTCGACTCTGAGCAGTCTGAAGCCGTTGTTGGATCAAATCCACCTTCTCCAAGGCATCATGTACAAGATCGGGACCAAGTAGTCCTACCTTAGTCGGCTCAAACCATCCAATAGGTGATCTACAACGTCGTCCGTACAAAGAAACATACGGAGCCATCTGGATACTAGCTTGATAGCTATTGTTGTAGGCAAATTCAATCAGAGGTAAGTGTTCATCCCAATTCCCACCAAAATCAAGGACACAAGCTCACAACATGTCCTCAAGCGTCTGAATAGTCCTTTCAGCCTGCCCGTTAGTGTGTGGATGAAAAGCGGTACTCAAATTGACACTTGTACCCAATCCTTCTTGAAAGGACTGCCAAAAATGAGCAGTAAACTGGGCCCCTCTATCAGATATAATGGAAACTAGAATACCGTGAAGTCTGACAATTTCTTTCAAGTACAACTTAGCATACTGTGGTGCCGTGTCAGTCTTCTTTAGCGGTATGAAATGCGCCGACTTTGTAAGTCGGTCTACAATCACCCAAATATAGTCATGCTTCAAGCGAGTGCGAGGCAAACCTACAACAAAGTCCATATTAATCATCACCCACTTCTAAAGTGGAATCTCAATATTCTGAGCCAATCCTCCAGGTCTCTGATGCTCAGCCTTTACTTGCTGCAATTTAAACATCTAGCCACGAAGTCTGAAACATTTTCCTTCATTCGATTCCACCAATAGATCTCCTGCAAGTCTTTGTACATTTTTGTGGACCCTGGATGTATGGAATATCTTGAACTGTGTGCCTCAGCCATAATCTCATGACGAATCCCATCGACATCTGGCACGCACAAGCGACCGTTCATCTTCAACACCCCAAGCACATCAAGAGAAAATGCAAGGATATCCTTAGATTGTACACCATTTCGAATTTTCACTAAATTTGGATCTTCATATTGCTTAGCCTTGACACGCTCAATAAGAGAGGAACGTGCTATGGCACAGGTGACAAGCTCTTTATTTATCGGTAAATATGCCAAGGTACCTCCTCATTTTCGGCTTCGTGCGTCGGCTACCACATTCGCCTTTCCCGGATGGTAATGAATGCTTAAATCATAATCCTTCAAAAGCTCTAACCCTCTCCTTTGCCTTAAGTTTAATTCCCTCTATTTGAATATATATTGCAAGCTTTTATGGTCGGTGTATACTTCACGGTGCTCACCGTACAAGTAATGCCGCCAGATTTTCAAAGCAAAAACAACTGCGGCAAATTCCAAGTCATGGGTCGGATAGTTCTTCTCATGGGTCTTCAACTGCCTCGAAGCATAAGCGATAACCTTACCTTTCTACATCAAGACACACCCTAACCCAATTCTGGAGGCATCAGAGTACACCACAAAGTCACCCAAACTTGTTGGCAACGCCAACACCGGCGCCATAGTCAATCTAGCTTTCAACTCTTGAAAACTTCTCTCACAAGCATCCGACCACTGAAACTTTGCTGCTTTCAGTGTCAACTTGGTTAACGGAGATGCAAGAGTAGAAAATCCTTCAACAAACCGCCGATAGTAGCCCGCTAATCCCAAGAAACTATGAATCTCTGTCGGTGTAGTTGGTCTAGGCCAACTCTTAACTGCTTCAATCTTTTGAGGATCAACCTTAATACCTTCGCGTGATACCACATGACCCAAGAATGCCACGGATTCGAGCCAAAATTGACACTTAGAGAATTTGGCATATAATTCATTCTCCTAAAGCGTTTGCAACACTATTCTCAAATGATTGGCGTGCTCCTCTTGACTTCGCGAATAGACTAATATGTCATCAATGAAAATGATCACGAATCTGTCAAGAAATGGTTTGAAAACCCGATTCATTAGATCCATAGAGGCTGCGGGTGTATTTGTTAGCCCAAATGACATCACCAAAAATTCATAATGCCCGTAGCCGGTCCGAAAGGCCGTTTTGGGAATATCCTTCTCTCGAATTTTCAACTGATGATACCCCGACCTTAAATCAATCTTCGAGAAGAACTTCGCCCCTTGCAACTCGTCAAACAAGTCGTCTATCCGAGGTAGTGGGTACCTATTCTTGATGGTCACTTTGTTAAGTTGCCTGTAGTCAATACATATCCTCAAAGAACCATCTTTCTTTTTCACAAACAACACTGGTGCACCCCAAAGAGATACGCTAGGTCTAATAAACCCTTTATCCAGTAAATCTTTCAATTGCTCCTTCAATTCCCTTAACTCGACTGGAGCCATTCGGTATGGGGGAATAGATATCGGCTGAGTATCTGGCACCACATCTATCCCAAAGTCGATGACCCGATCTGGTGGGATACCCAGAAGCTCATCCGGAAAAATATCAGGAAACTCATTAACAATTGGCACAGACTGAATGCTTGCTACCTCTGCAGTTGTGTCAGTGACTCTGACTAAATGATAAAGACATCCCTTCGTAATCAACTTATTCGCCTTAAGGTATGAAATAAACTTATTCGAGGCTTAGCAACATTGCCCTTCCACTCACGAACTGACTCATTAGGAAACTCAAACTTAACCACTTTAGCACGACAATCAAGAATAGCATAGCACTTGTATAACCAATCCATTCCCATGATCACATCAAAGTCAACCATTTCTAGCTCAATGAGATCTGCCGTAGTCTCTCGATCTTGAATTATAATCACACAACCCCTATAGATGAGGGAGGCAATAAGAGAATCTCCCACCGGAGTCGACACAGAAAACGGTTCAAGTATTTGTTCTTGCTCTATCCCAAAATCCAAAGCACAGTACGGAGTAACATAGGAAAAAGTAGAACCGGGATCCATAAGAGCATACGCATCTAGAGTACAAACAGTAAGTATACCTGTGATGACTGCATCTGAAGCCTCTACAATAGGGTGATTAGGCATGGCATAGAAACGTGGATGAGTCCCCTGAGAAGTGGCAGCTATCTGCGGTACCTTTCCTGCATTGCGCCCACTATGGGCTCCATTACCCCTAGGTGGGGGTGGTGCAACCGAGTAGTAGTCGTAGAAGGTGTTGGATGAGCTCTTCAAGCAAAACTTTCTGATATGACCCATCAACCCGCAACCATAGAACGGACCACGAGGTCCCCTTGTAACACTAGACTGACGCTGATGAGAACCCACACTATTGTGAGCCTGATGTGCAGTACGGTGGTCACTCTGAACGGTCTTAGACTGGTCTCCATGTCCGGAACTGTATGCCACTGGAGGACTACTGAAAGCTGTCTGCACCCTAGACTGTGGTGAACCAGATGACCCTCTGCTGCTCTGCCCCTTGCTTGAACTAGGCACTGCACTGAAAGTGCCAAAAGTACGGGCCTTTTTGTTTTGCTCCCTGTTGGCCCTCTCCTCCTGATGAATCTTTTCGAGATCCATTTCTAGATCCACGAAGTCAGTAAAGGTAGTATTCCTTCTCCCACTAGCGGTATCTTTTCTAATGCCCGGAATCAAGCCACGAGCAAAACGGTCAATCTTCTCATCCTCGGTGGGGATGAGGTGGGGAGCATAACGAGATAATTTCTCAAATTTGATGCTATACTCTAGGACTGTCATGGTATCTTGCTTTAAGGTCTCAAATAATATTGCAAGGGAAGCCCTCACTCCCGCTGGTAACCACTTCTTAATGAAGATCTTCTTAAACTCTGCCCAAATCATTGGAGGTGCATCCTCCGGTCTACTTTTCTCTATCCCTTTGAACCAGAGGTCAGCAATGTCTTTCAACTGGTAGGCTGCCAATCGAACCACCCGATAGTCTTTAACTCCCAGCAAAGTGGTAGCTTTCTCAAATTCCTCCAAAAAGTCCTGAGGGTCGGCAATAGGATCTGTACCAGTGAAAACTGGCGGCTCAAGTCTCACAAATTTCATGGCTAACTGCCCATGTCCTCAACCAATGGCGCTCTCATCCCTCCTTGTTTGAGCGCCTGGATACCCATTTGAAGGTTCTGTTGAGTCTACATAGCCATGAGATCAGCAAAAGTATTCATAGCCGTTCTAATATCATTGAGGGTCTTTTCCAAGTGATTTGGTTCTGGAGGTGGAGCAGGTGCCCCATCAACTTCATCCCCGAGCTCCTGGACCATCCTTGGAGCCATTGGAACTGGCACGGTTCGTGCTCTTGCAGCTCTTGGGGGTCGACCCCTAGGTCTAGCGGGTACCCCTCCCGAAGCCGCATCAGGTATAGGAGCAGCTTCCCGATTCATATTACTCCCATGCGTGTTCACCATCTTCTGCCAATCGATATAGCGTACAAGTTAGGAAATATTTCTTAGCTCTATTGCACGATTCTAGAATAAGAATAAAGAGTGAAGTGTTCTTATAATGTTAATATAGTCTTCTCGATATATGTGTGGTGCACTAAACACCCATAAGGAGAACCCTATCAGACAAGATTCCATAGACTTCCTAGGACTCGAATTAGAACCTAGGGCTCTGATACCAAGTTTTTCACGCCCTAAAACCAAGTGACCGGCACCCGGTACTCTACCCGACCCGAGTGAACCATCCCATAAATTAATACTCATTTATATGCCTAATAGGGGATATGAAAGCCTCTTCAAATACAATTATCTTAAGATATAACCCAAATCATAAAGAAAAATATCTTTAAGCAACTATTTTACTTCGAAAGAAAACTTCAAAAAGGTAGAAGAAAGCTTCATTCATGCATGCCATATGAGTAACCATAGGATTACAACCCAAAATGAATACTACTATTGTCTATGGAATCTCTATGACACGGAATGACATAGTCAACCAAGGCATAACCCGGTGACTCCAAAAGAATGATAATATAATAAAGTCCTCCACGGGTGCGAGGGTGGAGTCTCACCGAAAGTATCAACAGGAAAAAGAGAGTTGCCCTATCCACGCGGTCCAAGCTGCTCAGGTCCGGTCCTTGAAAACAGAAATGAAATTGTGGCCGAAATGCCTAAGCTCCACATGCCTAGTACGAATCATGAACCGTTCCCCCAACAAAAATATAGGACAAGCCTTAAGGAGTTGTAAGATATGCAATAACAGTTGATATAAGAAGGAAGCATTTATATCAATTAACAATTTAGAAAATAAAATAAAATAAAATAATAAGATAGAACATATTTCAATGTCTTCCTTTAGCGTTGATCTTTACAAAATTATATTATTATTATTTTTTTCATTTACCGGGAGCACTATACCATCACTGGCATAAGGAAAGGTCAACTAGGTTATATACCTAGCGGCAAGTATCATATACCCTACTTGCCCAGGTCGTCTCATCGTGGTGCCGCACTAATCGACTCAGCCATGCTAATAAAGTATCACAATAGTACCCCCTAATGGGAAGTACTCTGTCGTGGTCCCCAACCGTAAGATAGGTTCTACGCCTACACTGGCACGTGTAGTTTCATGACCTAATGAGGAAAAATATCCAAGGTCAATCTCGGTGAACTTATGTAACTCCCAAAATCTTTACATTTATCAATGAAGCTATTCATAGCCAAATCAACTATTTGAAAATAGTTAAAGCCAAAATATTTCACAACTCTTGTATTTGTGTAAAAAAAAAATATTACAAGCGCTATTCTCATTTGTCTAGTTTCAAAATTTGAATAACATTTCAAGAAAATAATATTCATAGCACTCAAATATTTTATGATACAAGAAATGGTACAATCCCATCTCGCTCGTCCCCACAGGATAGGACTCACATTTAGAAGCTCAATTTAATCGTGATTCGATATGAGTTTGGAGAAAAGCTCCGAAGGTAATAAGTTTCAACGTACCTCAAATTGCTTCCAACCTTACCCCAAATGATCAAATAATGCCGACGAGTCACAATCTACATATACGAACTCACATAATTCAATAACGCGTCACAACAATACCAACTAACCCAACTAAGTGTCCAACACTTTAAGTCTAATTTCATAAGTTTACAAAAATCCTCATTTCATCATTTGAAGGTAAATCCTTGAACTTTAGCTCAAAATCCGTCATTAAACATGTCATGGGATCTAGTCCTTCCATTGAAAGCTCAAAATAACATCGTTTGAACAAGACCCAACACTATTCATCATCCCTACCAACCCATTCTTCTAGGGTTTCATGAATAGAGGCCTAAATACAAATCGATCTTCATAAACATACTTTTCTACATCCATGGAATATAATGTATAAGTTTGGAGTGAAGGGATTACCTTTTTGTCAAACCCTAGAAGAATTCAAGATTTAGGTTCTTGAAGTGTTCTTGAGATTTTTGTCAACAATCTAGAATTTCCATGTAGTTGAAAAGTTAAGAGGTGTATTTAATGGACCAAATCTACCAAGAAGGACATTAAATTCTTACCTTGAAGAAGTATTAATGGTAGAGAACTCCCTTCTCTATCTCTTAAGTCTTAAGAACCAACTCCCAAATAATAGAACGACCCTTGCCCGTAAAGCCATTCAGCAGATTGAAGCCGTAAAGGATGCGTCGCATCTCCATCGCGCGCGTCCTTCTCATTCAGCAAATTTGGACGCGAGGTTGGACGCCTTCAGAGCAGTTCACTGCTTACGTGATGGGCTTTTGCCTCATCTCATTTGTTTAGCCACTATGCCCATCTCATTCCATTGAATTTATTTATTTATTTAATCTTTTCTCAATCATTTGCCACCACTACACCTTTTGTTCATTTGTGTATTATTAAATTTCATGGTATTTAATAATTAACTCCTTGGGTCCCACAATGTGTATCCAGCACATTCACTCCAAAACTCAAACATTCATCCAAATATTCATTTTTGTGAATATTTTCCTTTCAAGAGCTTTTAATGAGCTTTTTAATTACTATGAATCCAACACTCATTCTTTGATAAAATAATTATTTCCTAGTATCTCAATAAGTTTGTTCTACTCAAATAATTCATGTAGCTTGGGTTTAATTAAATTACACCCTTAAGCTCAAAATTTACCCCAATTAATTACAAAAGTTCACGGGGCTTTACATTCTCCACCACTTAGAAATATTCGTCCTCGAATGTAAATCCTTGGTCGTGTTAAAGTCCGAAAAGCATGATCTCCAAGACTTTCCCTACTTCCCAATTCTTAAAGCTTTGAAATTTGACTAACTCTCCGAGTTTCTAAAAAAATTCCGCCAGAGTTTTCTTTGTTTATAGGCCTATCCAAAAAAAATTTAACTTGACAGCGAGCCGCAAGAGTACAATATAAAAGCCCCTATATGGCTCTACTCATCATAACTACATAAATAAATGCCTTCATGGCCTCATATATCTCCAGCTGCCATTACATAGCCTCTCCCAGCATTGCCACACTAAAATTTATTACTATAGGGCAAGCCTAACAACCATGTGCAATAGATGAACCAATCAATCACTTATCCCATGGAAGTAAATTACGATAACTCTAAACTCGAAATTTCAAAACAAAAAAAGTAGNCTCTTCCGATCTATTTTTATATCCTCCTCAGCCTCCCAAGTAGCCTCCTCGACGTCATGATTACGCCCATAACACTTTAGTTGAAGCTATGTCTTTAGTCAGATCGGAAGAGNCGAATAAGTGAGGGTATCGGATTTTTATATCCTCCTCAGCCTCCCAAGTAGCCTCCTCGACGTCATGATTACGCCCATAACACTTTAGTTGAAGCTATGTCTTTAGTCCTCAATCTACGAACTTGCCTATCAAGAATCTCAACCGGCTCTTCTTCATAAGATAAGCCGTCATTTATCTCTACTACCTCCGGTGAGATGATGTGAGCAGGATCGGGCATATACCCCCGTAGCATCGACACATGAAAAAAGGATGAATTAAGGTCATCGATGCAGGCAACTCTAGCTTGTAGGCTACTTCACCAATCTTTTTCAAGATTTGATATGGACCAATGAATCTAGGATTTAGCTTGCCCTTCTTCCCAAATATCATAACGCCCTTCATACGCGACACTTTCAAGAACACTTGATCACCCTCTTTAATCTCCAACTTACGTCAACGTACATCTGTATAGATTTTTTGTCGACTCTGAGCGGTCTAAAGCCGTTGTTGGATCAAATCCACCTTCTCCAGGGCATTATGTACAAGATCGGGACCAAGTAGTCCTACCTCAGTCGGCTCAAACCATCCAATAGGTGATCAACAACGTCGTCCGTACAAAGCCTCATAGGGAGCCATCTGGATACTAGCTTGATAGCTATTGTTGTAGGCAAATTCAATCAGAGGTAAGTGTTCATCCCAATTCCCACCAAAATCAAGGACACAAGCTCGCAACATGTCCTCAAGCGTCGGAATAGTCCTCTCAGCCTGCCCGTCAGTCTGTGGATGAAAAGCGGTACTAAAATTGACACTTGTACCCAATCCTTCTTGAAAGGACTGCCAAAAATGAGCAGTAAACTGGGCCCCTCAATCAGATATAATGGAAACTGGAATATCGTGAAGTCTGACAATTTCATTCAAGTACAACTTAGCATACTGTGGTGCCGTGTTAGTCATCTTTACTGGTAAGAAATGCGCCGACTTTGTAAGTCGGTCTACAATCACCCAAATAGAGTCATGCTTCAAGCGAGTGCGAGGCAAACCTAGAACAAAGTCCATATTAATCATCTCCCACTTCTAAAGTGGAATCTCAATATTCTGAGTCAATCCTCCAGGTCTTTGATGCTCAGCCTTTACTTGCTAGCAATTTAAACATCTAGCCACGAAGTCTGAAACATTTTCCTTTATCCGATTCCACCAATAGATCTCCCGCAAGTCTTTGTACATTTTTGTGGATCCTGGATGTATAGAATATCTTGAACTATGTGCCTCAGCCATAATTTCATGACGAAGCCCATCGATATCTGGCACGCACAAGCGACCGTTCATCTTCAACACCCCATCCTCGTCAAGAGAAAATGCAAGGATATCCTTAGATTGTACACCATATCGAATTTTCACTAAATTTGGATCTTCATATTGCTTAGCCTTGACACGCTCAAAAAGAGAGGAACATGCTATGGCACAGGTGACAAGCTCTTTAAGTATCGGTAAATGTGCCAATGTACCTCCTGATTTTTGGCTTAGCGCGTCGGCTACCACATTCGCCTTTCCCGGATGGTAATGAATGCTTAAATCATAATCCTTCAAAAGTTCTAACCATCTCCTTTGCCTCAAGTTTAATTTCCTCTGTTTGAATATATATTGCAAGCTTTTATGGTTGGTGTATACTTCACAGTGCTCACCGTACAAGTAATGCCGCCAGATTTTCAAAGCAAAAACAACTGCGGCAAGTTCCAAGTCATGGGTCGGATAGTTCTTCTCACGGGTCTTCAACTGCCTCGAAGCATAAGCGATAACCCTACCTTTCAGCATCAAGACACACCCTAACCCAACTCTGGAGGCACCACACTACACCACAAAGTCACCCAAACTTGTTGGCAACGCCAACACCGGCGCCATAGTCAATCTAGATTTCAACTCTTGAAAAATTCTCTCACAAGCATCCGACCACTGAAACTTTGCTGCTTTCTGTGTCAACTTAGTTAACGGAGATGCAAGAGTAGAAAATCCTTCAACAAACCGCCGATAGTAGCTCTAGGTTGCATGGGTCTCACAGTTCACAGACAAACATAGTGGAGTCTGAGGGATCGATGCGGGGACGTCTGTATTTATCCCCCAGAGGCTACAGAGTTAGGAAAATTTCACATCTTTTCTCTCCTATCGTGCGGTTTGGTTTCTCAATGCTGATTGAATTTCTACTCCGTTCTCTCACAGACGCCGAGAACACGCGCTTCCTCATCCGCTGACCAGCAGTCCGAGCCCCTAGCAGCAGCTCCCGCGAGGGGCAAAGGGCGAGGCCAAGGACGTGCTAGAGGTCAAGGTAGGGGTAGAGCTCAACCTAGGGCAGCAGCACCAGCAGCGGAGCGTCAAGTTGACTTTGATGATGAGGTTCCAGCCCCAGAAGCTCCGGTGGGCCCAGCCCAGGTCCCAGAGGGGTTTATTGCTACCCTAGTACTCTAGGGTGCTCTGGTCCGTCTAGTGGGGCCTTATGGAGAGTGTCACCCGGGCAGGTTTACTTCCTGTAGCACCAGCCGTCTCTCAGGTTGGAGGAGGAGCCCAGACTCCTGCTACTCGCACTCCGGAGTAGGTAGCCCCCCAGTTTCAGACTCCAGCAGTTCAGCCAGTTGGAGTAGCTCAGCCGGGTGTGGTAGCCCAAGCCGGTGATGGAGCAGCTATGTCTGCCGATGCTTTGTGGAGATTGGACAGGTTCACCAAGCTCTTCCCTACTACTTTCAGCAGTGCATCTACTGAGGACCCCCAGGATTATCTAGACAACTATCATAAGGTTCTAAGGAACATGGGGATAGCTGAGACCAATGGGGTCGATTTTGCCACTTTTCACTTGTCTGGATCCGCCAAGACTTGGTGGAGAGATTATTGCTTGGATAGACCGGCCGGATCACCAGCTTTGATTTGGGAGCAGTTCACGCAGGTATTTCTAGAGAAGTTTCTCCCTATCACTCAGATAGAGGCCTATCGGAGGCAATTTGAGCATCTCCAGTAGGGTTCCATGACTGTCACCCAGTATGAGACCAGATTCATCGATTTGGCTCGTGATGCTCTTATCATACTTCCCACCGAGAGAGAGAGGGGGTGATGAGGTTTATTGATGGACTTATTCAGCCGATTCGTCTTCAGATGGCTAGGGAGACTGGGAGTGAGATATCTTTCTAGGAGGCGGCCAATGTGGCCATGAGAGTGGAGATAGTTCTGTCATAGGGAGGTGGTCGTGGGTGGGACAAGAGGCCCCGTTATTCAGGCCGATTCAGTGGTACCTCATCTGGAGGTAGGGTTTCGTATGGTAGAGGCCATCCTCCTAGGCCTTTTAAGTCGGCACTTCAGGTTTCTCATGGTGCTTCAGGTGGCCGTGGTCCTCAGATGCAGCATTCTGATCAGCAGTCCTATAGTGCACCACCAGCTCCTATCAGTGCACCGCCGCTTCAGAGTTTTCAGGGTCATCAGCCCCAGCAGCCGAGGGCTTGTTTTACTTGTGGCAACACGAGGCACATTACTAGGTATTGCCCTCGAGCACCGAGTAGCTCTCAGCATCAGGGTTCCCGTGCCATAGTTCAGACACCGAGTGTTCCACAGCCCGCCCAACCAGCTAGAGGTGGGGGTAGAGGTGCTAGAGGTGGAGGTAGAGGTCCTAGAGGTGGAGCTCAGAACGCTGGAGGTGGAGGCCAGCCAACAGCAGGCCGTCCCAGAGATGCAGTTTAGGATGGTGGGGCCCAGTCCCGATGTTATGCTCTTCCAGCCAGGCCCGAGGCTGAGGCTTCAGATGCAGTTATTACAGGTACCGTTCTGGTTTGTGATAGAGATGCTTCAGTGTTATTTGATCCAGGGTCTACGTACTCGTATGTGTCATCTTATTTTGCACCGTACCTTGTCATGCCTAGTGATTCTCTGAGTGTTCCTGTTTATGTGTCTAGACACCAGTGGGTGATTCCATTGTGGTAGATCGAGTCCATCGTTCATGTATAGTTGTGATTGGAGGTCTTGAGACTCGTGTGGATTTGCTTTTTCTGGACATGGTCG